TATACCAATCATTGTTCTTAATATTAAATTATTTAATTTTATATTATTATTTATTTTATGATTATAATACCCTTAACCTATTATCTCATTTATATTGTTTTTGTAACTTTTATATAATTTTTATATATTAATTAAAATTTATTTCGCATAAAAAAATCAAATGGATCCACGTGTTAGTATTCTTTGCCTGATGCCCCGTTAAATCTCTGGTATAGGTGTAGGAGAAATACGGCTGTTACTTTTTAGATTTTTTATCATTTTGTTCTTTTCTCTGATATATTCCTCTCCATTATCGCTGTGGTCTGTGGAAGAGTTAGAAACACACAACATGATAACCTCATGCCGAATATCAGAAAGCACTAAAAGGAAGGGCGGATAATTAAAGATGCATAGCTGAGCTGTGCCAAGGCCGCAAGTCACAGCGGAACATGATACCATTCAATATGCATAGTTACCACTGAATAGGAATATTTGGGCAGATAATTCAGTTATTCTATTCCCCTACACTAATGTCCATTGATTGAGTTATTCTATTCCCTCTACTAATAGCCATTGTTTGAGTTATTCTATTCCCTCTACTAATAGCCATTGATTGAGTTATTCTATTCCCTCACCACCATAGTGCTTAATCATCCATACTCCTGTTCTTGCTTCCCAAGAATGAAATACAAACAGCAAATTGTTAGGATTTATGTGAATCAAAGAGTTTGATAATGAATTTGGGAATTTTGTTGGTAACTTTATAAGAGAAGGCAGAGAGGAGTAGGGGTTTGTTATGAAAGTTACGATGCATAAAGGTAAAACGAATAATAATAAATTCAGTAAATTCACAATAATCATAAATAGGAGTACCAGCCATGGACTCAACTATCATTGTCTTTCCATTGCTTCACCATGTCAAATTCCAAACCCTTCCCAGTGAATTTAGAAGAAAAATAGGATATAGGAAATTGATTGCACGAGAGACAGTAGAACTATTGAAATGAAAAAAATGAACGCAAAAGAGAAAGGAAGGGGCAAACATAAGCAGCTACTCAGTAAATTTAAGAAAAAAGAAAGAAAACAGAAGTAACAATACAATAAAAAAATAAAAGAAAATTCCAGCATCATTACCTACCAAAAAAACTCGGCCAACTAAAGCACACCCATTGATCCTCTAAGTTGCAAGGCTAGAACAAAAGAAATAAAAAAAAAAAAAATGGTCACAAGTTATATTTTTCCTATAGAAATTAATGACTAAAATCAATACGTAAAAGGGAGACCTAACCTCACTTTTCACATTCATAGATGATAATATGAGAAAAAAAACTGGATGTTTTAACTTTTTTTAAAGAGAGGTGGAAGATATGTATTCAAATTTAGGGTCGTAGGACTCAAATAATTGGATAATAACAGTAAATATATTGGATAATAACAGTAAATATGTATAGCTCCAACAACAAGTAGAAGGAGAAGAAGAGAGTAACAGTAAATATGTATAGCTCCAAGAAGAAGAAGAAGAAGAAGAAGAAGCTCTAGGAATCTGCATTCAAATTCTGGAATAACAGTAAATATGTATAGCTCCAACAAGAAGAAGAACAAAGAAGAAGAAGAAATTTTTAAGACTCCATGGATAGATGACTTATATGTTGTTTGTAAGAAAATTTTTAAGAGTTCATGGAGAGATGACTTATAGAAGAAGAAGAAGAAGAAGAAGAAATTTTTATGGCTTACATGTTGTATGTAAGAAAAATATTAATACTCCATGGATAGATGACTTACAAAAGAAGAAGAAGAAAAAA